GCCTCCCTGGCTCCTTGTCCTTGGGCTGTCTGCGTTGCATTATTGGAAAATTTCTCGCGATCCTTTCAGCCAGAACTGCCCAACTAATAGCCACTGGAATTGAAGATTTGAAGGTCTCTGACTATCATTATCGTCATGTATGAAAAACTGAAAATGCGATGTTTGCGCTTCGGTTGATTTTGTTTTTGATAATAAATAGAGAATATCCCAGATGATCAGTAGCTATACGGACATTTTCGTCAATGTCCGGATGATTTCTTGGGATATCGAATATGAATTCGAATACTTTACACGGCCGACGGATACAAATACAATCTCATCAATATCCGCCGGATATCGGATATCCGATGTTTTATTCAGATATACGGATACAATGACAATGCAGACTTGTATATGAACTAATGATAATTTGCTTCTAGACGTATAATCTAGTTGTAATTAGGACTCATAGAGTGGTCAAATGACTGCAGCACATGTTATATTATATAGATGTCGCTTTACTCAAATATATGCGGAGAAATTTTGTAACCGACACTATCCGCGACCGACTTATCCCGTATTCGATATATATATATATTTATTTATATTCATATCCGAGACAATCCGTATTCTCAGCTATATCTGATAGCTATTCATGTCCGAATCTGAATTCGAGAAAAAATATGAAAATAAATATGATGTCAACAATATCCATTTTTATCTGATCTGTTTTCATCTCTACCAACACCACACCAGGTCACCAGGTCGTTTGATTCCCCTTTTCTTTATTAATAGAAATTGGCACTGTCCCGTACCGGTTCGTTCAAGAAAAAAAAGGTCCTACTTTTTCGTTTCCCTTTCGGCCGCATACGCCGCCCTGACCAGTGCATTCAAATGTCAGGCCTCCCTGGCTCCTTGAGCTGTCTGCGTTGCATTATTGGAAAAAATTCTCGCGATCCTTTCAGCCAGAACTGCCCAACTAAAAAGGCACTGGAATTGAAGATTTTAAGGTCTCCGACTGTCATTATCGTCATGTATGAAAATGCGATGTTTGCGCTTCAGTTGATTTTGTTTTCATAATAAATAGAGAATGTCCCAGATGATCCGTAGCTAGACCTACACGCCGAGCCTGATAGCGACCGAGCAAATTTACATAGCACCTCGTGTGCACGGCACGGCCATGTTGATGAACAAGCTAGGGTTTTAAAGTGATTTTTATATTCGAACATATCCATGAAAGGTAATGAGATGAATCACAACTGTCCAGAAACTAGAAGAAGAAAACGATAGAAAAGAATCTGTGATCCATCGTTAACGGTTTGCCTTCGTGATTATATTTTCCAAGCTGATTGTGCAGCACATGGAAACTAAAATATGATCTGAAATAAATAAATGAAAAAAAATGTTAATGTTAATTGCACTTAGCCGGGCGTTGCTGTTTCTTAATGTTAATGTAAGCGTGCAATTGCAGACAATGTGCGGGGCATCTATTCCCCTCGGAGTCGGAGCACTGACCATCTGCACGCGCAACTTTGCAAGCTGCCACACATCGTATTTGCTCGTCCTCCTTGGGCACACGCGAGGGAATCTTTCGGCAGTTCAGTTCAGCAAACACGGGTATTGGCAACCGAAAACCATAAACTGAGCTGTTTGTACCATGTTGTTGATGCTTGAATATAACGTTAGTTTTGCAGAAAAATAACAATTCCCTATGTTCCTCATATAATCAGGCACGCGTGCTCTACAGTGTCTGACGACCAACAAACAAGCAAACATTCTTCTCGCCGTCTGAAAATTTTAAACGCTACTCAGACAGACTTTTTGAGTTTTGTTGACTTTCTTTATCTACTACCAGTACTATGAGTAGCGGTACTACTGTCTGTGCCCCATTGGTGGCAGTTTTCCTGAAGCTCTCCCTCAGCACTAGACCTCACCAGCACGTCTCCGTAAGACTATCTCTGAGAACAACATCTAAAATATAAGATCTATTCAATATTTAAGTAGCGCTACAGTCAAAGAGTTCAATATCTATTCGATATCATCTCCAACAACAGGATTAAAAAAAAATCCTTTCTGCAAATGAGTTTTCATAAGAGATGATACTCATATTTGGGTTGTGCCTCACAGACAACCTAAAATTGGTCTCCCGTATAGTTACTCTATTGGAGACTGATTTTGAGTCTCCGGCTACCCATTTTAAATTTGAGTGCCCATATGAGTCACCTATTGGAGACCGTCTAAGTTTCGACATTCTTGGGTGTGTTTGTAGCTGTATCTCCTTTATGAGAGAACTATATTTTGTTGTCTACTGAGAGGATACGATCAGCGCGAGCGGATGTAAAATACATTCTCATTCACTCGCCATCCTGGCTAGGTGGATGTAGTGCATCTTATGCTCATCCACATGTCATTCTTGAACTAAGCATCTTTACAAAGTTATTGCATCCGCAGACACAGGATTACTATATCCACCCACACAACCAAAAACTATTTTTTTACTATAACAACTTCGAGTACTATGATATAAACTTGATACTCTTAGATATATGTAATCAAATATATATCAGTAATCATAAATTTATACTTACGGTATACAATATAATACAATATAAATAAATAATAAAATATAATTTAAAAGATCGTATCATATCAGAAGATGTCTTATAAACCGGCACGAGGGAGTATACAGCCTGTTCGGCTAAAGTGCTGGCTGACTGGTGCTAGCCAGCCATCTCGCGCGGGCACTGTTTACATGAATAGTGTTTTTAGCCGGAACAGTGTTTTTCTCTCACACAAACCAGTCAGCAGTATTTCTTCGTGAAGAAGTCACTCCAGCCGAATAGGCTGATATATAGATAGATGGATGTAGAAAAAGAACTGTGTCTGTCTCAGAAGATCCTCATCTTGCGGGCTGAATAACTAATCCATCATATCCTATGCACCAATACACGAGTAAAGAGTCCAAACCTCTCCATTGGTCGACTCACAGCAAATAGTTGCTGAACGTTGCTGCTCGTGTCGCTGAACGCCTGCGCAGCCCCTCATCACACGCGCCCTCGCGCCGACACGCAGGCTGCGAGCAAACAAAGCTGGCGAAACTTGTCTGGGTCAAAGGCGCCACCAGACCAGGTTTTGGATCAAACAGTGCCGCCACGTTTGCTCCGGTTCCGTTCCAGCACGTTCGTTTGGCTGTGGCTTGTCGTAAACGATCGTAAATTTTCAGCCGGAACAGTATTTTTCTCTCGCACAAACCAGCCAGCAGTACTTCTTCTTAAATTAGCAACGAAACGAACCAGCTAACCGAACAGGCTCGTGCGGCAGCGGCGGCGACGGCGGCACTGGGGAGACCCGAACCAACAACCAACGGTCCCCGTCCCGTATGAATTGTCTTGTCTCTGATCCAGTCGTCTCCGCGGCACGAAATAAACAAATAGGTTCGCTGCATCGTATTCAGCTTATAAGTCATGATTTATTAAGCTAACGAACAGTATTTTTTCTCACACCAAATCAACCAACCGTCATTTCAATCATGGTTTATAAACCAAAATAGTCCGAACAAACAGGGCGAAAAATGACAGGACTGCCCACTTTGCCGTGCCGATTTCCTCTCCGCTGCTGCCGCGGTTGCGTCGCGGATGCGGGGGAAGGAAAAAAAATGAAAACGAGCCCGTCCGTCCAAGCCGCAACGCGACGGCGATGGTGACCGACCAACCAAGCCTCGCCGGCTCGCCGTCCAGGTGACGCAACGCGGATCCCCGGAAAACGACCGTCGCGTAGAAACCCACCACTGCTGCGGAAACGGAAAGAACGAGAACGGTCCCGCTACTCGCTACGGGACACTGCGTCGTGCGTAGGAGTACTGTAGTAGTAGTACCACTGACGCCGTAGACAGCCCTCGTCGCTTTCGTGTTCACCTTCAAAGATGCTCATCATCGACTCGTCTGTAAACCGGCTGAAGCCGATTTGTTATCAGGAAGCGAATAGACCCTGTTCTGCCGCCGCGTATTCTCGGAACTCACTAGCCTTTCCAACGGGAAGAAAAGGAACCGTAATTACGTGCTCCATTAACAAATCATGCCGTTGTTGCTACGCCGGCCGAGGTCTGCAGCCTGCTGCTATCAGCATGTTCGGTTGGCTAGTTCGTTTTGTTGCTGATTTGTAAAAAAGTACTGCTTGCTGATTTATGCGAGAGAAAAATAGTATTCTAACTAAAAATTTACGATTGTTTACGATAAGCCACAGCCAAACGAACAGACTGACCGCCAGTCAGGGCTCTGCAGCTCTGCTTGCTTTTACTGACCCTTTCTTCAGTCACCGGCGGGCTAGAGTCACCCCCAACGTTCATCTCTAGTTAGAGCGACTTAATCGCGGTCATTAGGCCCCACTAATGCGAATTACTGGCTCAAAGCTCCCAACTTTTTGTTTTTGGCGATATTTCTCGGCTTGCAAGTCGCGCAACTTCTCCCTTCTCTCCCTATTAGGCTTAGGCCATCCGCTTCCGACCAAACGGCCTCTTTCCCCTTCCCCCTCCCTCCCTCTTCTCCTGCCTGTTCTCGTCAATAGCGCTCGCAATCCTGGGCCTGTTAGGCTGGTATTAAAGCTCATCTGTCTTCTCCCTGTATAAAGATTTAGTTCGTTCCTCTTTCGGATTTCTGATCTCGTTCTTGGTCCCCGATTCCACCTGTGAAAAATCTCGTCTTTGCTGCAATCGGTAGCAGCAGGGACGAGTTTGTGCAGAGTTTCCTTTGCTTTCCTTCTTTTTTCTTTTTTCTTTTTTTTTGATCCGGAGAAGCCGAGTTCGTTAGTGGTTGTTTGCCACTAACGAATCACGTTCGGATTGCGTCCTCCGCTCCGTTCCAATCTGATTCGGGTGCGCCGGGGAAGGATTCGGGACGGAAGGCACTAGTTTTTGTGCTTCCTTGGATTCCACGGCAAAGCCCGGCTGCGAGGTCGGCGTCGTCTCCATCGCATTCCGTCGGTTCCCAAGTAACCTTGCTGCGGGGATGGTGTCGCAGGCTCCCATGGTGGGGGCGGGCGCGGGCGCGGGCGCCAGCCTCACCGCGGCGCTGTGCATGAGGAGCAACCGCGTCGCGCGGGTGCTCGCGTACGCGCTGCTCGAGTGGATCCTCATCGCGCTGCTCCTCGCCAACGGCGTCTTCTCCTACCTCATATCCCGGTTCGCCGCCTTCTTCGGCCTCGCGCCGCCGTGCGCGCTCTGCTCCCGCCTCGGCGTCGACAGCCTCTTCGAGTCCCACTCCCACCCCCCACCACCGAGGCGGGGGCGCTGAGCCCCTGCGCCGCCTGCTGTGCGACGTGCACGCCGCCGAGCTGTCGCGCCTCGGCTACCGCAGCGCGCACCGCCGGCTCGCGGACGCCGGGGACATGTGCGAGGACTGCGCCGCGGCGGCGGCGCCCGGGAAGGCGATGCTGTCGTGGATGGGCCGGAGCGAGCTCGGCGAGCGGGACCTCGCCTGCGCCTGCTGCGGCGTCGCGCTCGAGAGCGGCTTCTACTCGCCGCCGTTCTTGCTCACCGCGTCGGCGCCGCGTGGCTCAGATTGTGCCCACAAGGAAGAGGAAGAGGAAGAGGTAGCGAGGACAAATGGAGACGTGGTCTTTGTCTCCGAGGAAGGCCCTGTGATCGAGCTCTTCGACGAGAAGCCATTTGTGGAGGATGACTCAATCGGCGTCTTGGCTTATGGTGCCGAGGTTGTTGCCAATGTTGAGCGGATGGTGCCTCTTGAATCAATTGACTCGTTGGTGGTCGCCATGGGCACTGTGTCATCTCAATCCGGTGACAAAGGAAAGGAAGCAGTTGATCATGGTGATGTAAGGCAGAACAACGTGGACATGGAGAACACAGTTAGTACCAATGAGGAGAAAATTGCCATGACATTTGATGATGACAAGGTTGATGATGTGGTTGATCGGCTGATTGATGAACAGATTGCTGCCATAGTCTTTGTTCTAGCTTGTATAGAAGCTACACTTGATGATGGGATAAATGCAGGCAAAATCGTGGAGGCCTTTGCTGATCATCAGTGTAAGTCATTCCTCCTTTGATAAATTACCTTTTCTGTCATTCTAGTTTAGCCATGCTGACTATAGCTCTGAATATCACTTTTGTCGTGTTTGTGTTTTTTAATGCATTTATGTTTATTCTGCTCACCTTTAGTGCTGAATCAAATTTAGTTATTTCTATCTACCAAACAGAGTCATGGTTCTCCCATGTTTTCACTGAGCTGTGCTATCGTAGTTGTACTTGTACCCCTTCAGCCATTCTAGATTTTGGATAGCACTGGGTAAATCTGGTGAACCTATAGCTGAACACTTGAACTGGAAGAGAAAAAAGGAAAATTAACCTAAGAAAAAAATTGATAGGATGAAATGGACCTCTCAACAGAATAGAAGACAAACCATATAGTTTACTGTCCTTGAAGTTGTTCCGTGATGTTTTTCTCTGTTTCAAGCTAGTTAGTCATACACCTTATTTTCAAAATATTAAATGCAGCTCGTGAGGATGACAGTGGATTGAAAGATAAGGATCAGAAAATATCATTTGAAGATGAGATATCTGAGGATGAGCAAGCTGAACAGGCTACTCTACAACAGGATTTGTATACCACGCCAACAGATCCTAGTGACCATGAATTTGTTGAGAGGTTAGACAGAAGTATTGAGTTGGAGAATTTTGAACTGGCTGAGCCAAAGCATAAAATGAACTCTATGCCAGTGGAAGCCTCTGAGCATGTCGTAACTCAGACTGAGGAGAAGCAGGTTCAACAAGCTAAGGTAAATCAGGAGTTGGATTCAATACCAGTACATTCCAGGGAGGATGTTGATGAAGAACTTGAAGGAGAGAGAACCGCACAGGCTGGGCTGGAACAAGAGTGTGACTCTGTGCCAATTGATTCTGGGGAACATGGTTGCCTGACTTCATATGCTCATACTGATGATGAGCAAGCTGAGGTGAAGCAGAAAGTCACTTCTGTAACAGCAGATGTTCTGCAGTATGCAGCAGACACTTTTAATGTTAACACAAACACATGGAAAGGTAAGATGCTGAGATCACAAGAACGCTTTGTTTATTTCCCAAGATTAGTAGTGCATTCTGATTGTTACTTCTATTATTATTGTGTAAACTTTGAAACTGATTATTAAATATTAAACAGAAGATATTGAAGAGGATCCAACTGAAGCTGCTCTAACGGCCATACATCAAATTTCTTACGAACCTTTGACAAGCTTAGACAAGTTCTCTCCGGATCATAGTGTCTCTGAAGAAGACAAAGAGCCTGATACACCGACTCATATTGAAGGTATATGTGATTCACAAGAACTGCTGGATTCTAAAGCAGCTGTTTCTGATGCTAAATCCGTAGATTCAAGTGTTGCTACTTTGTCTACTGATCTGGAAAGCACTGAATTGGTGAGTGTCGATCAACTAAAATCTGCTTTGGCTTCCACACGAAAGTCATTGAAGACCCTATATTCTGAACTTGAAAATGAGGAGGCGCTGCTGCTATAGCTGCCGATGAAACCATGGCAATGATAAACCGCTTGCAAGAACAGAAAGCTGCAATGCAGATGGAGGCAATCCAATACCAACGGCTTATGGAGGAACAGTCAGAGTATGACCAAGAAGCACTGCAGAGGCTGAATGAACTAGTTGTTAAGAGAGAGAAGGAGAAGCAAGATCTGGAGAGAGAGCTCGAGCTGTATCGCCACAAGGTTCATCTCTATGAGGTAAAGGTGAGGAAAATGTCCAGGCACAAGGCTGATGACCAGAATGGATCATCGTCAACTTCATCGAGTGCTGAGGATAGTGATGACCTTTCACAAAGTTTCTATGAAGGTGATGGATCTTCCCATGGTCTTAATGGAAGCAATGGGAGTATTCCTACAGATGTTGTGCTACAAGAAACTGCCAGGCATCTTGTTACTCTTGATGGCTCACTAGCTGTTTTTGAGGAAGAGAGACTCTCCATACTGGAACAGCTTAAAGTGCTAGAGGATAAACTTTTTGATCTCGATGATGAAGAATCCGATAGCATGAAGCATTTGACAGAAGAAAACCATTTAAATGGTGCCTCAAATGGTTTCTCTGATGATGATAGCTGCTTTAAACTTCATGACAAAAGAAAAAGTGTAACCTACAGAGGAAAGAAGCTCCTTCCATTGTTTGACGATGCTACTGTGGAAGCTGGAAACATCCCCCGAGGTGATGAGGCACATCATTCAACAGAGGTCACGCTGGACCTTGCTAGAGAGCAACATAAGCTAGCAATTGCCAATGAAATCGATCAAGTAAATGAGAGGCTGCACGCTCTTGAGGCAGATAGGGAATATATAAAACAGTGTGTGAGGACTTTGAAAAAGGGAGGCAAAGGGTTTGATCTTCTTCAGGAGATATTACAGCATCTTCGGGACCTAAGAAGGATTGAGCAGCGTGGAAGGAACTCTGGGGAGCTTTCGCCTCATTTCCTACATCTTTACACGGACTGAAGGTAACATGCTACAACTAGTATTGATAGTTTGCTGAATTTTCTTTTCAACATGGAGGGTGACAGAATGATTGTTCTCTATCTTCTAAGAAAAATAGTTCATTGAATTTTGTTACATACATGATGAATAAACAAAATTCTACTTTCCTAAAGAAGTCATGCATCCCCACATGTCCTTTGCACAGTACTAAATTCTGTGCCTAAAATATCACATTTTATTCTAATTGATTTGAGAGAACCTAATTCTTGCTTGTTAGTTCCAGATCAGCTGCAAAGCCTCGTGCCGATGTCCAGCGAATATTGCTTGAAGATGGAAATCATACAACAGTGATAAGGAAAAAAAAGGATTGCCGACTAACTAGTATTGTCATTGGAGAAGTTTTGTTGGTTCCTGGAGAGGAAGGAGCTCCTCCTGGAACACGTCACAGTCGGTTCGGCGATGCCATTCGGAGGGCAGATCATGGAGCAATTCTGCCTTCCAAAGTCCAGGATTTTTGTGGACCACTTCCCACGTTCTCTTTTTGTGTTGGTTTAGTTTTCCCCGGGGGCTCCAAACTTTTGCCCAAGGGAAAGACCGTGGGGTGTGTTTGTGGGTTGTGGCGGCAATCATGGCCTTGTACAAGCTTTAGAATTCATTAACCTGAAAACATGCCGATGCCAGCTTTGCTGCCAGATGGAGTGAGTGAGTATAAAAAAAAAAAGAGGGTAGTCCGAGTGGGCTTCACTAGTTTTTGTTTTCTTTTTTCTATAAATTCTTTTCCTGTAAATCTTCTAGCTGTATGTAATGTGCTTTCGGCTTCTGAAATGATGAGGTGTTGGGTGTGTGCATAGCAGGACTGTTGTTTGATGGAGAGCATCGCCGTGCTGGTCTTTCCCTTTTGTTCTTTTCCGCTCTTTTTTATTTTGGGCATACAATCTTTTGATGCAAGTGCTGCTTAGTTATTAACTCTGAACGCAACCGGCGTCATGCACTGATGTATGATTGGTTTAGCTGTCAAGAATCATGAGATGACCAGTTGGTCGCCAGTGCATGGATGCAGGTCACCAAACAGTCTGTTGGGTGGGGTGGACCTGCCCCTACCATGTTCTAGTGCTCCTCATCACCAATGCATGAGCTCGTTGGTCCTGTGCAATATCTTCTCTGTTCCGGTACTGGTACTACCTCTACTAGGTTGTATGCTGTCAGCAACAGCTTCTCTTGATCTGTTGACAAGCTAGTACGGGGTGATCGGTCCTGTATTCCTGTTGCTCTTTAATTGAAGCTCCGATCGACCTCCTAGCTCTGCTTTGTTGACAAGCTCGGCTCGGCTAGTGCAGATAGTGTGGACTGTGGAGTAGATCAGTCAGTAGCCGTACCGGTTTGGACCGCGGGCGAGGTGAGGGGAGAAGGCTGCGAGATGCTTTGCATCCAGTGAGTGAAGGCGCAAGGATGACGATTGCTTTACCTCTAAGCATGGATCGGGCAGAAGGGTTATGTTCTCCTATTAGGATGTGAGATGTGACAGGGACACAGTCGCCGGCTCGCGCACGCCCGACCGCATCAAGCTCGGTTGCCTCCTGCTCCTTCTCCTGCGGTAGTGTTGTAATGCTTCTGCAGTCTGCAGTGTGAGAAAGCAAGTACCACGTGCTGTTAGCATAATTGTTAAAATCTTAGATCATATGGTGTGATTTTACGACCTTGTGATCATAGTTAAATCATAGTCTACAGTTTTACAATTCCAATAGTTATGACCTTATGATTCTACGATTTGCGATAGTACTATTTGAGTTCCGATCCGATTCTATTTGCTAGAGATCACAATCGTTTCTTCTGGTACGAACTAGGAAAGATTGTTCTTGGACTTGCTTTGTTTTTTTTTTATAATAAAGTTCCTTGGAGTTCCTAATTTGGGTACGGTACTGACTGTAGTATACTGGTGGTTCTGGTTTAGATTTGTTCATGGGCCACTTGAACCGACCAACCTGACCCGCCTGGAAAAAAAATCTCATACTATGATTTTCGACCCATAGCAACTCGACTCAAATGTGCAAAAACCTGATCTAAGCCGACGTTTGATCGGTGGAAAAAGTCCACGTTACCTCTCTCAACTTTCGCGAAAGTTGACTTTTCCTCCCTAAACTCCAAAACCGAACCAAACACCTCCCTCAACTTTTAAAACCATTCATCTTACCTCCCTGGTCCTGTTATAAGCAGTTTTGAAGACGGTTTTGTATTTTTATTTATTATTTATTTCGGCTGAATCTTTAAAAAATCATAGTAAATCATAGAAAAATCATATAATGGAAAATCAAATTTTGTTGGACTCCACATGAGTAGATCTACACAGTGAACATATAATATGATATACTTTAGTACAAAGTTTTTGCCGTGTCTTTAGATCTATGCTTTTCTGTAATTAATTAGAATAATTTATAACTGCAGTTCTATGGTCCAATTGTAATGAAATTTTTATGGTGAGCTAATTATTATATGATTGAACTGTAGTAAAAATTTCATACTCATTGGATCATGTATAGCTTAGTTATAAATTTATTTATATTTAACAAGCATAAACCTAAATAAAATCCATAACTAAGTTATACATGATCTAATGAGTATAAAATTTTTACTATAGTTTAAGCATATAATAATTAGTCCACCATAAAAATTTCACCACAATTGAACCATAGAAACTGCAATTATAGATTATTCCATTTAATTACAGAAAAGTATAGATCTAAAGCTACAGCAAAAACTTTTTACTAAAACATACCATATTATATGGTCACTGTGTAGATCTACTCATGTGGAGTCCAACAAAATTAGATTTTCCATTTTATGATTTTTCTATGATTTACTATGATTTTTCAAAGATTCGGCTGAAATAAATAAAAAAGAAAAAGACAAACCCACCTTCAAAACTGCTTATAACAGGGCCAGGAGGTAAGATGAACGGTTTTAAAAGTTGAGGGAGGTGTTTTGCCCGGTTTTGAAGTTTAGAGAGAAAAAACGGACTTTCGCGAAAGCTGAGGGAGGTAATATAGGCCCCGTTCGCTTATCTTAAAGTTTTGCTTGTTCGGCTTGTTTTTTCAGCTGGAACAGTGTTTTTCTCTCACAACAATTCAGTCGGAACAGTGTTTTCAGCCAGTTTCAGCCAAAGTTCAGACCAGCGAACGGGGCCATAGACTTTTTGAGTTCCGAATAGTCCTGGGCAAATTTTACCGAGAATCGAACCAAATTTATCGAGAACCGAAGTCTTGGTTCCCTATTCGGTTCTCATTTACAAGGAACCAAAAATTGTTCGATAAAATAGGTTCCCCCTTAGTTAACCGAACTAACCGAAATTTGCTGCTTTTGTTGATTGCCTTGCTGATTGGCGATTGCCTGGTCATCTGGATGGCTGAATGTATTTCAGTATTTGTGTTGTGCTGTGCTAGTGTAGTAGTGTGCTATCTTAATGTCTTGCACTCTTGCTGAATGCTTATGCCTTGCTTTACAAGTTAGCACTCTATTGAACATGTTGTTACATGGATTTTGGGTACTGTTTGGTTTTTCGGTTCTACTCGGAACCGAACCGAAAGAACCGATACCGAACTTGGTCGGTTCTATGTCTTTTGAAGAACCGATCGGTACTGGTTTTCTGAGAACCAAACTTCTTAAAAAAACGAAGAACCGATCGGTACTGATTTTCTGAGAACCGAGCTTCTTAAAAAAAACCGAAGAACCGATCGGTTCGGTTCGGTAACCGAACGCCCAGGGCTAGTTCCGAAGTCCGAAGGCCCTGGCACCAGCTGGCTGCCGCCGCACACCCAGCTGCCCAGTTGGAGCAACAGACTCTATGCCTCCCACAATATGGGCCGTAGACAATGCTTCGCCCACCAGTCCAGACCCAAGCTCATCTCCGTTTCCAGCATAAAATTAGGCCCATACCTACGTCGGTGACGATGTCTTCTCCCGGCCCGGATAAACACGGCCCAAACCGGGGCATGTCGGCAGCTCCAGAGGTGAATAGCGACGCTTGCCCTGTTTCCCCTAAACCGTCGTCCGCCCCACAATCGCAATTCGCAAACCCTCCTTCCCCCCTCGCAGCATCCGCGCCGCCGCGATGAAGCGCTCGGCCGACGCGATGACTGAACCGGCGAAGCCTGTGTTCCTCACCAAGGCGGAGCGGGAGCGCCTCGCGCTCGAGCGCCGCCAGGCCGCCGTCTCCGACCAGCGCCACACCGCGCTCGACCTCCTCCAGTCCCTGCCCCGGCCCCCTCCGCCGCCGCCTGCCGGCGGCCCTCCCCCGTCCGGCTCCAACCCCGCTCCTCGCGACTCCTCCAACTCCCATCGCGACTCATCCGACCGGGACCGGGACCGGGACCGGGACCGAGACCGAGACCGAGACCGGGAACGCCGCCGCGACGACGACTCCCGCCGCGACCGAGATCGGGATCGAGATAGGGACCGCGACCGAGATGACTCCTCCCGCCGCGACAGGGACCGAGACCGTCGCGACCGTGATAGGGAGCGGGAGCGGGAGCGGGAACGAGACCGCGACAGGGAGCGTGGGGATCGCGGGGACCGGGAGAGGGACCGGCTAGAGAAGATGGCGGAGCGGGAGCGTGAGAAGGAGCTCGACGCGATCAAGGAGCAGTACCTCGGGTCCAAGAAACCCAAGAAGCGGGTTATCAAGCCCTCGGAGAAGTTCCGCTTCTCCTTCGACTGGGAGAACACCGAGGACACCAGCCGCGACATGAATGCGCTCTACCAGTCGCCGCACGAGGCCCGACTGCTCTTTGGCCGGGGCTTCCTTGCTGGCATTGACCGGCGTGAGCAGAAGAAGGCGGCAGCTGCGCACGAGAAGGAGACCCGTGCAGAGCTGCGGCGCAAGGCCGGTGTGGAGGACCGTCCAGAGGATGATGCGGTAGATAAGAAGAAGGCTGCTGCTGCTGAAATGTATGACGCTTTTGATATGCGCGTGGACAGGCACTGGTCTGACAAGGCGCTTGAGGAGATGACTGAGCGGGATTGGCGTATTTTCCGTGAGGATTTCAATATCTCCTATAAGGGTTCTCGCATACCCCGGCCAATGCGGAAGTGGAGTGAAAGCAAGCTTGGCACCGAGTTGCTTCGCGCTATTGACAAGGCTGGATATGAAAAACCATCACCAATCCAGATGGCTGCCATTCCGCTAGGTCTACAGCAGCGTGATGTTATTGGTATCGCTGAGACAGGTTCTGGAAAGACTGCAGCTTTTGTACTCCCCATGTTGTCTTACATTACCCGATTGCCGCCCATAAGCGAGGAGAATGAGGCTGAGGGTCCCTATGCCGTTGTGATGGCACCTACTCGTGAGCTTGCTCAACAAATTGAGGAAGAGACTGTGAAATTTGCAACCTATCTAGGCATTAAAGTTGTCTCAATTGTTGGTGGTCAGTCAATTGAGGAGCAGGGTTTCAAGATTAGGCAAGGCTGTGAGATTGTAATTGCTACACCTGGTCGGCTTCTTGATTGCTTGGAAAGGAGGTATGCTGTTCTCAACCAGTGCAACTATGTTGTGCTCGATGAGGCTGATAGGATGATTGATATGGGTTTTGAGCCACAAGTTGTCGGTGTCCTTGACGCGATGCCATCGAGTAACTTGAAACCTGAAAATGAGGATGAGGAACTTGATGAGAAGAGGATTTACAGGACTACTTATATGTTCAGTGCCACCATGCCTCCTGCTGTGGAGCGTCTTGCTAGGAAGTATCTCCGAAACCCAGTTGTTGTGACAATTGGTACAGCTGGCAAGGCCACTGATCTGATCACCCAGAATGTGATCATGGTGAAGGAGTCTGAGAAGATGCCACGGCTCCAGAAGATACTTACAGATCTCGGAGACAAGACAGCCATTGTGTTCTGCAATACTAAGAAGACAGCGGACATGCGCGCCAAGGATCTGGACAGGGCAGGCTTCCGCGTCACAACCCTACATGGTGGGAAATCACAAGACCAGAGAGAGATCAGCCTTGATGGATTTAGAAACCGTCGGTTCAATGTTCTTGTGGCTACTGATGTTGCAGGGCGTGGTATTGATATTCCTGATGTCGCACACGTGATTAACTATGAGATGCCTAGTTCAGTCGACACATACACACATCGCATTGGAAGGACGGGTCGTGCTGGAAAGAAGGGAGTAGCAACTTCATTTTTAACTTTGGAGAACACTGATATTTTCTTTGATCTGAAACAGATGCTTATACAGAGCAACAGTCCTGTGCCACCTGAACTTGCAAGGCATGAGGCATCAAAATTTAAGCCAGGCTCGATTCCTGATAGACCTCCAAGGCGGAATGATACAGTCTTTGCAAATCATTGAAGCAATCTACCTCAGAAGGGACTGAAGATCTTTTGGACTATTATGAGCTCAACTTCTACCATAGAGGGAGGGGTCTAGATTAGTATTTATGAGGTACAAAACTTTTGATGGTTAGAAATATGTACTTATGAGGTCCAAAAACTATGATGATTAGATTTGGTTTTATTTCTGTTTGGAAACTGGCCTCATTGTCGTAACTTTAGTATGTTTTGGTGGTGATTTAGCTGTGGACATGTGTATCGTATCATAATTTTTGTGCTATTCTGCAAGATTTGACATGGCTGGATTTTAGTATCTCGTACATGTTCTATAAATGCTATTTTATATTTGGTAGCATATTGCTCCAGAGTCATTCTTTTATCATTTTTTGCAGAGGGCATATATTGTATCAGATCTTCATTGTGGAGATTTATCAACTGTGGTTCACATATCATTTTAGTCCAAAGAGGTGCTGTTTAATTTCATATTATTACCTTTTGTGTCCATGTTATGTGGTTTAATGTTTGATTTTATAGCTTCATCTTGCTCGGAATCATGGGGGTCCCTATTGTTTGGGTTTCTTAAAATGGATCTTGTGTGTTCAGGATAACATGGTTAAGCAATGTGCATATAGTGTGAATGTTGTTGGTGCTATAGTAGTGTCAATGTTGTTGGTGCTAAAGGCAGTTGAATCACTAGTTGCAGGTCATTCTGGCTACCGGTAGAACTTTGTAGCAAAACTGTGCATTTTCATCAGAACTCAAAATGAGACAGCTGTGTTTTGGCCAGTGAGTAATTTGACCACCAATGTGTGTCATCTGTTTTAGGGAACTGAACAGAGACGTTCATGCAGAATAACCTAATATGATATTTGTAGATAGTGTAGCACATATTCTGTTTAAGATTCATAGTGGTTAAACTGTTTATTATGCTTTTCTATTAGATGATATGTGTGTTGGTCATATGCTTGTACTATAGAATACAACATTATGAAAGTATATCTTATCTGTGGTGTTGCATTGGAGCTCAGGCATTGTAGTCATAGAACTGTTAGGCACAAGAATTGATGGTAGTGAATACATTTTGATAGTCTGAGACACCTGCCATCCAAATTTTAGCAAAGGATGGCATACTTTTTGTCACACAGATATACACCTTTTCAGATTGCAGTGGTAATTTACTCGTCAACCACGCAGTTAATGTGTTTTATTAAATAATACTCATTTTGCACTGATATGTTCCCTGGGATCTTCTTTCTGTTTGCAGTTTGATTTGTGTTTATGAGTCTGATTTTGAGATCTCGCTGAAGTAGTGAAGTATGTTAAACTGTACTTGTGGGTGTTGATTCTTGTCAATTGTTGAAAAGAAAAAATCTATACGCCTGGACAGGATGGGGTTGTGTATGGTGCGGATAAGTGGTAAGTTTGTGAATCTGTTTTCTATCTCTGAGCTGTTACCTTGCTTACTGTTACTTGCTTTATCTGAACATGGGCTGTAATCACCACTATTTTATTTTGTAATTTACTCCTAGGGATAGAATTTACCAAGTACCTTATCTTTCTTGGATAAATTCTACGGCACAATTGATATATATTTTGATTTCAATTTTTTAAGCGGTTGTTCTTGGTATCATTCAATTTTGAAACTGTAAAATCAAGCAATAGTAAGAAGATGGGACTGTTTGTACGAGGAATCTGAATACTCTCTTTGTATCTAATATAATGTATCTAAGTGTATTAAAAAATTAAAACGTCTTATAATTTAGAATGAAGGGAGTACATCGCATAAGACATCGATGAAATTTAGTGTCATTTTAACCGGCTGTTTGTTCATGGATAGTGGATACCCCTCTTTGCTGTGTGATCTGGATACCCCTTTACCTATTCCGCTTTTTTCTTGTCGATGAAAAAAAGGAAAGCAGATTTTTTCTTGTCGATGAAACAAGGAAAGCAGAAAGTTGAGTAGCCAATTGGCATGGCTAGAGTCTTGGAGAACTGATCCAGGTTTTACCCCTTTCTCCGACGTGTCGGCGGGGACGGTCGGACAAAAGAGTCGGTGGATAGCCAGTGTTGCGCAGTCGGATAAGCCTTCAAGCCCTCGTACATATGTGGCCACATTTCACTCACAAAAAGCTCACGAGAATTGAACGAAATAAATAGTATATCTCAGAAACATAGAAAATCAACCTAAATGTCCACTTCCGTCGTCCTGGACTCGTAGTAGCTCATCCACGACGCACCGAACCACAATGGCCACGTTCCTGGGAAGCTCACCGGCGCTCCTCGCCCGTCCCATCGCCAAGCCGCACGTCTCCTGCGCGCAGACCCCGCGCCCGCCAAGCGCCTAGAGCCAGCCGCTGTCCAGCGAGCAGCCGCAACCACAGACACAGCAGCAGTCCGTGCAAGCGTAGCCATAGCAGGCGGTGGCACCGGCGAGGCCGAAGCGCACTGGCGGCGCGGACTCCACGGACTGGGTGGCCTCATCGCTGACGTGGCGGTTCGGGATCGGCGTGGGGCTGGCGTGGACCGGCTTCTTGGGCGTCGGCATGGTGTCCGAGCTGCTCAAGACCCGCTTCGAGGTCGCGCAGCAGCAGGCCAACACCAAGTCAGTGCCATTCACCATGCTTGCAGGTCGTTAATTCTTTCAGTTACAAAACCGCCATTACTTCATTTGGTGCATGCAATGCCCGCTCTGTCTCATGTGCACAGGGGCATGGAGCAAGAACAGGATGTCGTCCTCCCCAACGGGATCAGGCACTACGAGATGCGCGTCGGTGGCAGCGACGTCCCGCGGACGGGCGACCTGGTGGTGATCGACCTGCAGGGCCGGGTGGCCGGCAGCGGCAGGGAGGCGTTCGTGGACACGTTCGGCGACGGCAAGCGGCCGCTGGCGCTGGTGATGGGCTCCCGGCCGTACACCAGGGGCATGTGCGAGGGCGTCGAGTACGTGCTGCGCTCCATGAGGGCCGGCGGCAAGCGGCGGGTGGTCGTCCCGCCGGGCCTCGCGTTCGGCGACGACGGCGCCGACTTCGGGGAGGAACACGTCCAGATCCCGCCCGGCGCCACGCTCGAGTACGTCGTGCAGGTCGACAAGGTGTCCATCGCGCCGGCGTGAGGCGCTACTGAGGCGGTTCTATACACTCGATAGCGTGACCACAGTTGTTATAGCTGCCATGACCCATGAGGCAAGTTTCTTCTCCACGTGAGCTGGACTGTCTTGGGGGAGTTCTGCTTCTCAGAAACAGTTTTTTTTTTAATTATTTTCTTCTTCGAAATGTATTTTCTTTTGTTTCCCTGAACCCGTGCCCAACCAACACACACATATATAGATAATATAAGAGTTTAGGTTCAGTCCTGGTACTAACTGAGAATGTAAGATACAAAAATACCGTGGCTGCATATCGAATACAACCAAATTGAGACACTCCTACAGTAGTTACTAGTACCGGTTCAAAGTTCAGTTCGCATGATCATCAACTGACAGGGAGTGCAACAAAAGAAAATCCAGAACCGTGTTTTTCTCTCGCAACAAATCAACATAAGCAGTAGCATAAGCCAAATTTCAGCGAAACAAACAGGGCATGCTTGAGCCTCATGAGTGATAAATAGGGGCCAACTTCATTGTAAACCCTTGGAATCGAAGGGGAAATAATTGCCCCGTACACAACGTAACAACATAAATGTCAGGCTGACCCATCAATGGGCTCACCGTAGTTCTGTCAAAACAAAACAACAAAAAACGTAAATATACTGCAGGCTATTCTATACATGTCTATCACTGAAGGGCAGCAGAACAATTTGCAAGCGTCACTCAACTGGTTGGATCACCTCCCGGCCCAGGATTGTAGAGGGGGAGCTCAAGGAGGAAGGCAACCTTGAACCATGCAGGCAGGGAACCATACACAGCGGGTGGCAATGGGATAAGAGGGCTGCAGAGAACAATCAACACTTTACTCTCTGCTGCTAAAAACCAATGGTTGGACCCTGGAGAGAGATCAGGAAAATAAGAATGCTACCTTGTAGTGTTCTTGTATACACGGTATTCCTCCAATCGTCCATAGCGCTTATCAGCAGATGACTTCATGATACAAATATAAAGAGTAGAGCGTGTTAGCATTTTGCAAGTAATATAGCTGGGGTTTGAGGGCACCAGAGAAGTTGCAAACCTCAAGGAGTGGGATTCCACTAACGAAAAGAAGCAGAAGAGTCAGGAATATAGGTCCAAGAATCACAAGCCATTCAGCATCTGAGAGAACTGGGGTTGACGCTACAAATATTCCCCACCAAAGGAACATCTACATCAATTTCAATTCATATACAGATCAGCGTCATAAACATCGTATGTAGAACATGATGTACTAGCAATCACAGCTCATAAGCATGTAAACAACATATGCATTGAGATCACAATACGAATTAGTACAGGCAGGTACCATTCAAGGACTGTGAGTTTTCATTCTAGCCAATATCAGTATATAAGCAAAGCGAGTATACGCAAAGGCTAATCTTCATATGTACCAAAACGACCGAAGTAACAAACTGAATTAACTAACCTCCCCAAAGTAATTGGTGGCGAGAATACTTCCAAAGACCGACGTCACACCACTTTCCCTATTACTTGGAGAATTCTTGAACACAAGCTTCTGCTGATCAGCTGTTGCTTCTACACATATCCCAACCAACCATATTATCCAACCGATTATATCCCTGGCTTCAATCGAGGGGTTTCTGTCACTTGCATTCACAACAGTGACAGGCAAGCTGACAGACCAAACCCACACAGCCTGCCCAAATGGAAAAGATGGCCTGCTGAGGATTTCTTCAGAAAAGGCACGGTCAGATCTTAATATCAGAACACAAGTTGCAAAAGGTACCTGGAAAATCCAGAAAAATGCTAACTTCCCCAAATTATCACGCATTTTGTCAAACCGTCGGTCTTCACCCCATTGCAAAATCCTAGAAATTAATAGGTAAGAGAAAAATTAGCAATTTATTGAACATTATAGACATGTTTTCAGTCAAACTAACGATTATTCATGTAGCAGGTCATGTGACAAGCTAACAGCGTACCTCATCAATAAAAATAGTCCTAGGCGAAGACCCCAAATGGTGACAAGCACTGTCAGCACAATCTGAAATAGAGACCGACCTTTATAAATGCACATATTTTAAAATAATCTTGAGTTATTCCTACAAAAAATTATATCACAAATAAATTAAATAAATACAGTGCCAAAGGAATGGTACTAGCATTTTGTTCCATTTCCTTCTAAAAGAAACAAAGTTATTTTCGAGACTCTATACTCGTCTCTTTCCTATCATTTTTAAAAATTTCACAGGGACGAAAAGATGCCTACAACCTACATTGTCTTTCCTGTGAAAATGGAGTAAGATAAGAATGTCTCAATGGATTCAGATCAACATGGTCGCTATTTATTGTATGTGATGAAGCAATTTTGCTAGCTCCACATGTTAAATTTGCAGTGTCTAAGTTTATGGTAAATGATGAAGCTATTCTGCTAGCTTTACAAACATTGTTAAATTTGCAGTGTCTAATTTAATGTAAGTGACAAAACAATTTGACGAACTCTAATGTTAGTGACAGGTAGTTTTAATCATGCTAGATTGCTACAACACCAGAGTATATGCCATCTTGAGACTAAAAATCAATGAATCATGGCAAATCCAGAGATCTATGTAACTCAACATTTCCAACAAACAGCTTGCCAGCATGCTGCAGCAACTGTAACTCACATTTTCACTTAAACAGGAATGTGATGAAAAAGTAAATCCACTTTATGTTGTCTACAAAGTGAACTACCAGGAGCAAAGTTGTTGGCTGTTGGCAAACAGATTTTTTTCAAGTATTTGCACTGGAAAAAACTGATAATCCAGCATAAAAGAAAAGAAAGCAGTAGTTCTGATGAATTCCGCCTTTTTTTCCACCGAACCAACAGGGGGCATCAGTTCATCCATTGACTATGTTTACATTAAAGTGAACAGATTTATCATGAAAAAAATACTGACCTGACGGAAATGCCATGCTCCCTTCAAAGCTAATGTTAGGATGGCGATTATGACAAAATTTGTACTGCCTGAAATTAGGAGCATAAAATAAATAATTGTGGGCAGAAAATACAGCAAAGCTAGTATGCTACATTGACCTCATGTAGCTTTTACAGGCTGGTGCACAGACAGCGAAGTTTATCAGACATTCAGATTATTGGTTCAGAAGACAAGGATGCCTCTTAAGAATGAGGAACGGTTTGCATGTAAGCTCACGTGTATAATTATCTTATATCAGACAAGGAGGCTGTTTGGTTCAATGCCTGCCAGGCATCGATCTCGTTCCTAAGCGCCCAAAATCGGGCAGGAACCTCCCTGCACCAGACAACCTTGCCTGGGGAGTAACCAAACAAGCCCATGCATGAGGATCCCCGAAAACAAGCGAGAAAACTACTCCCTCAATCCCCAATTATAGGAGGCAAGTTTGGCGCAAAAAAAAAAAAGACGTTTTGGCTTTTGTAGATATTTTTTTTCGCTAGGTATCTAGACATAATGTATTTCTAAGTACATAGCAAAAGCTATGTATCTATAAAAGCGAAAACGTCTTATAATTTGGAATGGAGGGAGTATAATACAGTTCAGGAGAGATGTTGGGTTGTTGGAGTCTTGGAGCAACATCGGCCACACAAACTGAGTCAAAGAACTCAATGACCGATCTTGCTAACTGTTACCTAAACTGAACTCCGTTAAAAACTAACAAGGATCTCTAAGAATTTATCCTCTAAGCATTAGCAGGAATGAACTAAACTCACATTCACTATTACAAGGGACGGTCATGGCAACTCGTTCCGGTATCAATTGCAAGGTGGGATCAGGCTGAGTTAGTTTTTCACCTGCGAAATCCGTGACCTTATCGAACCGGAGAAGAGCTGTGATGATGAAGAACAGCAGCTGGTACCCCACCTACCGGAACCACAGAGAACGTAACTAGGGGTCAAAATTAAACTCCAAGCCTTACGCAGAACCGGGAGAAGGGAGGAGGGGAATGGGGGCACTCACAGTAACGATGGCGGTGAGCGCCAGGAAGTGCGAATCGAGCACGGTGCCCATCGCCCCGGTACCTCTGTTTCTCCTCCCAACTCCCTCCCCGCAGCTCGTGCTAACGAAGCTGTTAATTTAGTATTTGCGAGGAGAGCTGTAGCGAGCGAGTATTTAGCAGGGCGGGTTTGGTTGACGGCCGATGCGGAGGAAGAAGCCCAGTGGGAGACTGGGAGTGGGGAGTCATCCTCAGCCCCGGGCGAGCTTGTGGCCAGGATTGAGACAGGGAGGCCGGTGTTGGACTGGACCAGTCTGTGCGACCGCGAATGCTTGCGGAGCGGGCTATGCAAATGCTTGGCCCAAAGCGAAAGGCGCGGGGAGGAAAAGGTTCTGTTTGAGACTAGTCTCGTTATTATTATACTCTTCAACACGGTTATTACTTAAAACTAGAATATTCAGAGTTTTGTTCAAACATCAACTTTTCAAATGCTATGGTCCAAAAATTCAACTTACTACTTGTCTCACATTGATTTTATGAAATCACGGCTAATAAGTGAACTAAAATCACATAGGGCTCTTTTCACGTGACTCAGATTCAAGAAGCCGGCGCCTAAGGGTGCGTTTGGGAGTGCTCCATGTAGCGGATTCTTGAAGAGAATCACTCCCCGGCTGTCAAACGATTTTTTCAGAGTGAAGTGATTATTTGCTGATTAAGAAGCTGAGAGCTGGAAAAAGTAACTTCTTCTGATTCTATGAAGTGATTATCCATAGTGATTTTAAGAGTTTATGCTAAAGAATCAAAGAGAATCATTTTCAGCCTCAGAGGCCCTGTTCGCTTCTCTTATAATCCGTCTTTTTCAGCTTGTTTTTTCAGCGGGAACCGTGTTTTTCTCTCATAACAAATCAGCCGGAACAGTGTTTCGGCTTATTTTTTCAGCGAAGCGAACGGGGCCAGAATCACTTCACCAGAGAATCAGGGAGCACAGCCCTGCCAAACCCTAAGAGACAACCGTTGTCGCTTCTTGCTTCTCGCTGTCGTCGTTTAGGGTCCTCTCCTTTCTTTCTCTCCAGTGAGTCTGCCCGTGACAAGAAAGAGAGAGGCCACATTTCTCGTTTATTGCAGATTTTATTTGTATTGCTTAAGCTTAGCCCAAATAAATCTATCAGCAAATTTAGATGATCTTTGGTTGGCATCTTGTTACTTGCAATGACCTCAGTTATTGCCATGATAATGTCGCCGTTACAAGCGTTGGTTTCATCGACAAGAGGTCAATTTGTGGTCCTTATCTGTAACAGGAGGGGTGCTCCTAGGCACTCTCCCCGCAAAGACAACTTCGAGTCATCGATCTCACCATTGATTGTCGCGGAGTAGAAATAAGGTATCCAACATGACGAATCAAGAGTTGTGTCATGACCCGGCATTGCATCTCGATAATGAACATCGTGTACATTATCATCATCTAAAGTTTATTTTTGCAAACAAGTTAACCTTAGCTGGACCAATTGTGGCTCTTTTATGCCCCGACGGGCGGTCCGCAACAGTTCGCCAGAACAATGCCTAGACTAGCACTAACATGTCCTAATGGACGGTCCGCCAAAACCACCCTTGACACAATTGGAGGTGTCATTTAACTTGTTGTCTTGGCCCCATTCGTCAAAGCTCAAGTTTGATTTGGTAATTGAGTGGAAAACATTCGAGGTGTCACATAACCAGATTATGCCAAAAGTAGAGAACATCTTTTAGGTAATCTAATATTCTCTTTGCACCGAAACTTCTTTAGCCCTATGATTTTTTAATTTCATTTTAAAATTTATTTCAAAAGCAACCATGTCCTTGTTGCTACCTGTTCAGATGTTATTGGTAGAATCATCGGAGTTTCAAATGTAGCGGTGGTTATACACAAATTCAGGGGATTCAATGATGTGAAGAGTAGTGCACTTACAAGATCTAAAGTATGTTTACTTGTAGGGGGCGTTTGAATCCTTTCATTCGAAGGAATTGAAATCTATTTAATAAACTAGGCTATTTGGCTTGAAATTTGACATTTCCCCACTTTCCAAAGTTCACATATAAACCTATCTTAAATTCATACGGTGGAAGATGGGAATTAATTTTATAGATCATCATGCTATGTTTCTACTTTGTAACTTATAAGATGCTCTTTAACTTGCTCCTCTACGATAGAAATGCAACACATAAGTATCTCTCTCGTATAGCTAACAATAATATATAAATATAATCCATATATAATCATATTAGCTTAATTAATATATGTCTAAATTATGATTATTAAAATAAATTTAATTTTAAGGATCCAAACGGGCCGTAGTGTATTTTTCTCTGAGTATGTAACCAAATTTTGGCATCTAATATCACACTAACTTCTTAACTCATTCGTAGGGGAAACACAATTGATATATCATTTTTCCAAGAGCTAAGTTTGTGGAGCTATCTCGTTTGGTTTGTCAAGTTGAAAACAGAGTTTTAAAAAGTGTGCAGCGGAGCGACCATAAAATCCTAAATGGGCCCATAGTATCCACTATAGGGACCAGCCTCTCAAATTTGAAGGCCATGCCATGCATAAGGCGTTCGACTAATCTTTGCCAAGCACTGGAATGCCCAGATTACACAATATCGAGCACTGATGATTCATCTTAGGCCCCGTTCGCTTACGGGTGAATGAACCCGAGGAACAATTTCTGGCCGGATTTCTTACTAAAATTTATATAAGCTTTCAATGGCTGGAACGGTTCCACGGCCGGATTCCCTCAAACCGAACGGAGCCTTAGGAAATCCATGATCCTGCTTAAAACACACAAATGCATTCTATAGGTTTGCACGGGAATGCCCGGATTACACAACCTCATTCACCCAATAACGCTTCTTCACTCTTCAGGTATGGTAAACTGGAGTGCATTTTTCAGTACAGGCGTGACGTGACAAATATGTTAATCTTCTCCGATCCCAGGTTCACACATAAACCTGTACCGCACACTGCAAATTGGCCCATATGCTACTTTGAACAAGGGTATAGTAAGTTGGAGTGCATTTTTCAGCTCACGTACATGCGTGACAAAATCCTCTCCCAGGGCCGCACAGCTACTTGGAACAAGAAAAATGTGAACATAGTAGCCGCTAATCTGAACAGTCCAGTCCTAATGGCCTAGGCGCCTAGCTGCGACATCAGCAGGACAGCTCCTCCCAAACTGAAATCAGGGCTGCACGGTCATGAGCTTGCCGCCTTCCCCCCACCTTTCCTCGCTGACGAGATGAAGCTCCATCCTCCATGGGCGGCCACGGCCCACCTCATCATCGCTGACCACTCCTTACTCTAATTCCGGTCCCCGGTAGCTAGAGCATATCCAACAGGCCTCATTCAGCAAATACTGAAGTTAGATCAGATCCAACAGGCCTTATTCCGCAAACTGATGAACAACGTTAAGTTTCAGAAGGTCTTATTCCGCAAACTGATGAACAACGTTAAGTTTCAGAAGTCCTTCAGAGGCCCAGTCCAGCAAGGTACGAAATTATCCTCAGTCATGCGGTAATTAAATTTTACTCAATGTGACTGAAATATTAGGAGCCGAGGACGAGGAGGGCACCAAATTGATGGAACGTTAGGAGGAAACTGAATTCATACTGACGAATCATAATAATAAGGTAAACACACGTATATACAAAACAAGTATGCATATTGCATATACAGATGTAAGCTGCAATATACTGACACATGGAAACCAACGGGCGAGGAAACCTGAAAACACAGACGAGCAAGAGTAGCGTGCTCGATCGAGATCATTCGGCAACGCCATTCTCGCCAACAGACAGGCGCAAGCTGCAACGAACTCATAAACGAATCACCAGTACCGACAGGTCCGACACAACTATATAAGCATGCCAATGCAGCAAGCAAACGGATTTGATTGCCTCACGAGTCACGGCTGCCGCTGCGAGTACACCGGCGCGAACCAGAAGCACGGCGCCCTGTACCCGTCGGCGGTCGGCAGCACCTCCACGACCTCGATGCGCTTGTGCTTGCCCGCGAGGCTGTACGCCCACACCCGCGTCTCCCCCTCCAGGTCCACGGCATAGTACACGGTGTTGGGCCTCAGCGCGGGGCACACCCTGGTGGACGCGGCCACGGCGCTCGCCGCGTCCACGAGCACGGCGGCGTCGCCGATGTCTTCCGTGTCTTCCCACGTCTCCCCGCACTCGTCCAGCACGCGCACCACGAACCCTTCTCCTCCCGCGGCCGTCACGGGGCGGAGCAGCTCCACCTGCATCAGCTCGCCGCGGGGGGACTCCACCAGAAAGCTGCGCTCCACGTACGCGTTCGGGCGGCGCGTCACCGAAGGGATGATCTCGGGGAAGGCGGAGTTGAGGTCGTAGAGCTCCGGGAAGACGTACATCATCCCGTACCTCGTGTTGGCGTAGAGCTGGCCCCGGTGGACGACCACGTCGACCACGGAGGGGATGCTGGTCGGCGCCACGGACTTCCACGCGCGGTCGCCCGGCCGCGCCGTGGCCCACTGGTTGCGGTGGTTCAGCTGCCGGTAGATGGCCAGGACCATGACGCCGCCGCCGGGGGTGGGCACCGGGACAGCCTTCTGGATGACGGCATCGATTGGGAGGACGCCGCCGCCGAGGTGCTGGACCTGGAGGCCCTCGACGCGGGCGACGAGGGGGAGCGTGGCGACGGCTGGCAGCGGCTTGCGCGCGCCGGAAACGAGGTCGAGCAGGTGCATCTCGCCACGCTCGTCCGCGGCGACAATCGCCCCGCGCGCGGAGCCGAGAGGCACGAACTGGCGCGGGTTCACGCGGCCCAGGCGCGCTGGGAGCGTGCCCACGGAGACCTCACGGTCGGAGCACACGATTAGGCGGCCGCGGTTGAGGGCGAGGTCGGCGCTGACATCCGTGGGGAGGAGCAGCCAGGGGCGGTCGGGGCGCGGGCGGCCGCGGCGGGCGGTGAAGGCGGCTGTGGCGGTGCGCCAGGAGCCGCAGACGGCGCGGAAGCGGAGGAGGTCGAGCGACGAGAGGCGCACGGCAACGAGGTCGAGCAGGTCCTTGTGGAGCCCCGCCCAGTCGGCCATGGCGATCGCGCGATACGTCGTGGGGCGAGCGCGGATGGGGTGGGATTATATGCGGGGTTCGGCGGATCGCGGCGGGAGGCCGGAGGCGGAGGAGAGGTGGCCGCGGCCCTCGCGGGGCGGTTGCCGATTTTGGGATCAGGGGGTTGCTTACCTCTCACGCGCGTCCATTTGGGGGCGATTTGGTTGTTTTTAGCGTACTTTCTAAGCTGGTCGCTTGGGCCGAGAAAAATACGCACTGATTGGGCCGCCACAAGCCATTTTGGGATACTCCAGCCCAGATCCAGCTTAATGGGCGTGCTAGAAAGGCCCAGTTATGTGGATTTTTTTCTCAGACTGTAGGTCCGTAAGGTGGCTGAATTTATATCACGTTCGTTTCGCTGAAATATGACTTCTGTTGATATTTATGATGATTTGTTGTGAAAGAAAAATACTATTTGGTCGCTGAAAAGTACTGTTGAAGTAGTTCGAGCGAATAAAAATTGTACTCGTCTAATCCTAAGGGCTAATTTGGAAATTCAAATCCTGTTGGGATTCTAACTTTTCTAAGGGTGGAAAATCATGGAAAAATAATTTGAATAATTATTTAATTCTTCATGGAGGGTTTTTCTTTATAAAGGGTTTTCCATCCCTGTGTGTGTCTCCCCCTTTCTTTCAAATTAGCCCTAAGGTAGATAAATTTATTCACAATCTCTACTCGTTTAAAATTTGCGACCAATCCTCGAACTTGACACAGAATATTATCTTATTCTTCTAACTTAAAAAAAAACTTTTGACCCCTAAATTTGCTCCATATGCCATGTTATTAGTTCTCAACTTAGAAAAAATATCATTTTCGATTCTCCAAACCTGACCATCTGTAAACACTAACTCGTTCTCTCCTAACTCTTACTCGTTGCCTAACACACCGTGCTAGCGCCGGCTTGTTCAGGGATCTGCACAACCACGTAACTAGGTGGTATCATGGTGGGTTGGTGGCCCATTGGATCAAGGCACAGGTTGGCTCAGGGTAGGATTTTGTGGCCCGGTGAGTCACGCCTATGGCATGTTCGCTTGAACTTTCCAGCCAGCTTATCAGATGTACAGTATTTTTCAAATCAGCCACGGCCGGCTTCACTCCGTCACTATTCCGGTCAACTTTCTCCCCTTCCCTCCACCTCCGCTCGCCGCCATGCCGCCAGCCAATAGCCTTGCCGCCGACCAGCTCACCTTCTTCGAGGCCAATGGTGAGCGCGCCGATCGCTTGTCCACCCTCAGGCCTATTCCTTCGCCCTCGCGCTCCTGGTATCCCGATAACCGGCGGCGAATGTCGCTGCTCGTATAGTCGTATCGAGCTGAAACCCTAACTCGTTATCGCGTTGGTTGGTTCCAGGGTACCTCGTGATGGACTCGTTCTCGAGCGCGGAGGAGGTGCGGGAGATGCGGGACCGCATGGCCGAGCTTGTCGCTGGGTTCGATGGCGCCAGCTCCGCCGTCTTCTCCACCAAGGATCATGTACGCCATCGGCTTCGATTGGGCCAGTCTCGGTTCCTGCCTTTGTTGCGCTCCTTTCCTTCTCCATATACACACCCTGATGCCGGAGCACCTACATCTCTATCTTTTGAAAATTCTATTGCTGGGTTTGAATTACACATATGTTTGGTTTACATTGCGCTATTTTTTGTTGTTTCAATTGGTTATGTTTGTAGCCTGTTGCCGTTTATAAATAGCATATTGTGCATACTCAGATTTAGCATAATTGGTATGTTGTTTTCCATTGCAGCGGCAGTTGAAGGATGATTACTTCTTTAAGAGTGCAGAGAATATCTCATTCTTCTTTGAGGGTACGTGATTTGTTCCCCTCAGACTAGTAGGAATATGTCACAATTCTATTAAATCTATTTTACGAACTAGGAATTGGTACTGCCTTGGACTATGTGAAAATAGCTGTACTTCGCTCTACCGACTTAGTTTATTGTTTCTGTACCTTTACCTATGTGAAAATTTTTAATTGATAGTTGATACTGAGATTTCCTATCCCCGCCTTTTTTTGCTCAACTGGTTGACAACATTTTGACAGCTTGAGGGCCTCATGTCTTTTTTTTTTTCTTTGACACTATTTCACTCACAGAAAAGGCGTATGGAGATGATGGATGCTTGAAACAGCCAAAAGAACTTTCAATTAATAAAGTTGGGCATGGTGCTGTCACATTCAGCTAGAAAGCATTTATACCTAGTTTTCTTTCATATGGTGGGCTCAATCATTTTTTTCAATATCGTGCCCCCCTCCCCTCCCCCTTATGTGCATACTTTAATTTGGCCAGTAAATAGGAAATAGTGGTGGAAACACCCTGTTTCACTAAATATAAGAAAATCATCATCACCTTCTGTTATTGTAGTATTGTACTAACAGTGTGTTATTATACTTCTGTGGCTCTACCCAAAGATGATAAGCTATAACTTCTAAAGAGATTCCACTTTTAAACGACTTTCAGAGTTTCTTCTGGTGGTAATAATCTTAAAAATAACAAATTTTGTTGCATTTAATTCAATTATGTGTGTGCATTCTAAATGCACCACTGTAGACTTATCTTTGTTATAGATGTTTGTAGTTCGTGTAATCTAGCTATCTTAAATATTTATGTGCTTCAGTTTGTTTTGTAAAGTGGTGTTATGTTATAACTCCCATCATTTTTGGATAAACCCCCCTATTGTCTTCAATGTTGTGAATGTATTATGCAAGGCATTCAAGAAAAAATGGTATCCAGCATGGCCTGAAGTCCTGAAGAACAGGGATTGAGATATCTTACCTTCGCCATCTTTCCTGATATGCAGCATTACATGAACTTGATCCTGTGTTCAAAAAGTTTTCTTTCTCGGAGAGTGTTGCAAGCTTGTTCTCTTCTTTAGGCTACAAGAGGCCTGCAGTCATTCAATCTATGTACATCTTTAAGGTAGATTTTTTAGACTCTACTTTTTGCTGACATTGTATGTTATTTCTTAATTTCTTATTGTTTTTTTTCTTTTCGATAGCAACCAGGTATTGGTGGTGAGGTGGTGCCGCACCAAGATAATACATTCCTTTACACGGAACCTCGAACATGCACAGGGTTGTGGCTTGCACTTGAAGCCGCAACGATCAACAATGGTTACCTGTGGGCAATTCCAGGATCACACAAAAGTATTTCTTTCACACAAATACTTTATGGCAAAGAACGTCTTGAAAGGCAGGACTGTCTAAGTTTTCTTTTAACTTTTGTGTTTTGTATTAGAGGGTTTGGTGAGGCGTATGGTCAGAGATGAAAATGGTACACATTTTGATTGCCCCTCCCCAGCCTATGATCAGAAAGAATTTGTACCGCTGGAAGTAAAATCTGGTGCTTTGGTGGTTATACATGGAGATCTGATACATCAGAGGTGGAATTCTCCTTTATATTACTAATGCTTCCTACTTGTGTTGTACTGTTTCAAGTTAATAGTGTTTTGGCTTTTTGTGTACAGTTTTGAGAACCTTTCTCCAGCGTCAAGACATGCATTGAGCTTACATGTAGTTGATACTGAAGGATGTGAATGGTCCAAAGACAACTGGTTAGTTCATAATGACACTATTGAAGAATTATTCTTTTACTATACTGTTTTGATTTTCCTTTACGTCTAAAAGGTCTTGGCATAATTGACTAGAAATGCTTATAAATTATGTCTTCAATCTTGGATGGGATGTGGCTAGCACTGTTTCCCTTCTGAAATCAAGCTTGTGACAACTGCATAATTATCTCATTGGTAGGTTTCATATGATAGTTTGCACTTTTCACTAAACCAAAACATATTAGTGCTTGGTAACTCCATTGACAAACAAAATAACACATTTTGTGCATAAAGTTGCCGTTTGCTTATTAGGTTTGCTCTGCAACTTATTAAAGTGTTGATCTAGACACACTTATGATAGTATGATGTTTCAGTTGACAATGTTGCTCTTCAGTGAGTTGATAATAGTGGTAACAGTAAAACATGGGAGAACTAGGTTAATGTTTCAGCAATATAGATACACCCATCTTTGATTATGAAACGAGGCAACTACTAGTTTGTATGCATTGCTGAACATGTACGCCTCATGCCCACGGTAATGATGAACATAAAGGGGCTCAAGATTATATAAATAGTGATTGTGATTAAAATTCCAGTATTCCACTATATATGTGCATTGTAAACGGACCCATAAGTCTATGGACCCATCCTTATAGACAAGTCTATGAACCCGTAAGGCAAGTGCACCTCCATCCAATTTGCTCTAGCTTCGCCACTGATGCATTGAGTGTTGACATTGGTTTTTTCCTTTGTTTTTCTAACAATTTCTTTTGTTTTATCAGGATACAGAGGAAAACGGCCCCTGAACCTCTTTATGTGTCCTAGCAAAACCAGTTACCGGTAGTGCAGTAAAACAACAGAGATTCCCAGCAAGTGATTTGTGGATCGCTTCTTTGCACAATAAAATAAAATGGGGGAATCAAGCTGGGCCATGCTGTTTCCGTTTCACCTGTAAACATGTAAATTGTAAATACTCTTGCTACTGTGGTGCCGTCATTGACATATTATGTTTTATTTTATGCATCCAATAAATCTCCAGTTATTGGTACTACACAAGCTTACTTTCCATTCGATCATGGAATGCTGCCCTGCTCTTTGGTGCAGGCATGCAGCCGCTGCACGCTCTGCTCTTCATTTTGTTCTTTGGCATTGCATCACATTTGTAGTTTTGGTCATTCCTGACTGCTGTCTGCTGAGCTTATGAGGGTATGACCGTATGACGGACGCTACGCGCTACTAGTTCCAATGTTTGTACTAGTATCAGGGCGCGCGCCTTCGCGCGCCCGTGCAGCAGTATCTGGGAGCCACTACATATCTTCCGGATGATTTTTTCAGTCCATTAATCAGATTTATATCCAATCATTACATGATGCCTAGTTTCCTGAAAGCAGAGCAAAATCTGGTAGATAAAGGAAGGCAATTACACCCAGATTTTACCGAAAAATAAAACAATAAAGAGTGAATGAAATTACAACAATCGACAACCAGATCTAATCAAATATGTGACCTCCTCACGTGTAGCAACAATTCCACCATCAGCTTTACATGTGCAGCAGAGAGAAAATCTTGCAAAAAATAAGTAAATACTCATTTGACTAAAAGAGATACAAATGAAATGAAAGATAGAATAATCAACATTAATGGAAAATACATTGTTATGGTCACGCTGATGTTCAAGTTCACGTGATGAGCTCCATCTAAATTTGATATTAAAAAATCATCTGAGTTACAATTTGCAAAAGCTACCATACTGACAAAACCGAGATGCCAATTACTAAAACTATTTACCTATGTACACAAAGAATTAGAGATCAAAAGTACTGAAAAACTAACATGCCGAGATAGCTCCTTCCATTTTTTCTGAACCTACTCACCGAATACTTGTTCTAGCCGCTAATCAAGAAAACCGGTTTGATGTAATCTAGCTTTGACAGTAGAGAATAGTGAAACCGAGTATAGGCAATCTAATATTAATAAAGCGAATTTGTCTTGACACAAAAATATTGAAACAACGACACTCAAAAAACATAATAGAGTATTCACTATTGCATGAAAGTGACCTTCACAATTTTAAGCATCCCGATGCACCATTCCAATCGCATCAAGATTCTCGACTATTTTACTTCTATTTAGTTATTGAACAGAGTTTTTGAAAGTTTGAACCAAGCGTGTAAGTACAGAACACAAAAAAAAGCTGGTAGGCAGAGGTTCAAACCTCTTAGTCTGCAGTTAGTCACGGCAAAGGAAAAGAAACAGTTGCAACCAAATCAAAGGATTTGACTAATATTGCTGTTCTTCTTACCTAAAAGACGGGAAGCACTAACATGGCCATGAAACCGGTACACCCCAACGCAAAAAATAAGAATGAACTCAAAACTTATTAAGCTGAAACTAATAGCAGCATTTATCTTGCTCGAACTAATAGGAACATTAATCGTAGCATGAAAGGGATATCAAATGTTTCTCTATAGAGTCAATCTTACAAAAAAAGAATCGGTGTACAACTCTAAGTAGGAATCAACTCTAAGTCTGTCGTTATCCTCGTGACTGTTTTTTGTTGTTTTTGGCTCCCCTCATGACCTTTATTTTTTTTTATTGTTTTGGTCCCTACTCATGTGTGTGTACAAATATCTGTCTTAGTAGTTAAGATGAGAAGCAACTCACTGGAAGCCGCTTTAACAAATCTTTTTGAACCTAGCCTAAAATATTAGACTTTGCCTTAGGCGCAAAGACAAAATCGTGAAGACTCATTTGGATGGGGTACATAAAAATGTTAGGATGGATGTTTCTTTTGTTAAAAAGGAAAAGCTATTTTTCTTATAGCGCAAAGAACCTTCCTTATTCAGAACGTCCCCTGTTGATATAATAAGATTAAGGCTATGAAAGCCAACAATGACAGGTATGATATACATACGAAAATGTTTGGGCTATGTCTACATGAATTGTGCTACTTGAGCAGAGACCAAAATTGGAAGCCTCATCATTTTAATATAGCATTCCACTATGGTTAGTTTATAAAAAAAGAGCATCATCAATGAAGCTAAATCATTTTGTGAAACACAGTTGGTGGTTGGTTGAAAGAATTCAAAGGAGAATACATAGCATATTTTTTTTAGTGTGATAGGTTGTATGGAAGTCTCTAAATAACCAATTTCAGATTTGAGCGACGATCTAAAATAAAGGGAACTAACTAAAAAATAGATGTGAAGCATGTATTTTACCTTCATGCAGCTTACATCTTGAGGTCGAGTGATCCAAGCGATCCAGGCAATGATGATTCACTTCTTTAGCATTTGAATAGAATTAGAGTTTTCGTAGTCTTTGACAGGGAAAATGAAAGCACGTTCTCAAGTGATATATTGTGCACTCACAGATTGCATAAATCTGTTAGTTTGTGATAGAGCGCAGGTCTAAGCATTGGGGTAATAATCATATTAGACTCCAACAGGTGATAATATTTTTTATCATAACCTGCTGATGCAATGCAACTTATATACATAACAATCTTATGCGATGACCATAAAGGAAATTACCTATCGGTTGGCAAAATTGTCTGAACAGAGATCCTTTCCAAGCATTACATATAGCTTCTTCTGAGTTTCTGTACATAATAGAAACAAATATGCAGAGGATAATAATCACTATCGAGTATAGTAACTTTTAGTTGGTCAAAGTCTTCGTATGGATTAATTGCTGAAATTACATTCTCACTAATACCAACATTTAAGAATAAGAAAAATAATGAGAGAACTTGCAAATGTCTCTTAACAATCAGATGCCACCAATAATGAAAATTAACTATTGACGAGCTAATTTGGAATAACACTAAAATTGTATGTTTGGAACTATTTATTGGCCCCAGGTCCATTTTTATGTGCTACATTGTTGTATTTGTAAGCTTTCTTTCTACAAATCTTGAAACAAATAGGCAAAAAGTTCATCAAAACCCATATATCTCTTCTCTAGGGATACTCTTCACCAACCTCAAGTAATCAAAACGAAATTTGAGTAAACAACTTGCGAGAAAACACTTGCACTTCTTTGACTTTTGAACCTTTTCAAACACCAAACACCAAAAACAATCGGAAGGGAAGGTACCAATGTTAATTGGCGATACTTCTTTTAACTCGTGTTTTGTCCAATGCAGGACCAAGATTTGTCCCCCGACGGGTCAAAGCCTATTGCTCTTATGAATTCATCAATTACTCTCGAAAGCGCTTTTGCATCCACTTTTAATCAAAATTTGGTTCTAACTCGAAAGGAATGATGGCAGGTCCATTGCAATTAATAGATAGTGACCAAGTTGACATGTGCACAACCAAAGGAAATTGAGAAGTCTATAAACATGAGCACAAGAAAAATAAAGAACAATAATAATTGCAATAGGAAAGCATAACTTTGTCTATGTAGTTTTTTTGTTATGCAATGAGCATCTGAGAATGTTACTGTTGACTATTTCTATTGTCCAAGAATAACGACAACACGCTATAATGAGAGATGGATCAATATAGGACTGAATTGTAAATGTTTAATTGCGCAATACAGGTATGAAACTAAAATGGTTCATGGATCTAGTAATATCATGAATCGAAGACCTAGGAAAAAAAAGTATGGGTCCTTTACTCATCCCTGACACAGCATAGCAATACAATGAAGAAAAGCTACTGACGTACATAGAAGAATCTTTAGAATAATAGACTATCCTTGGCATACACAAGGTCCTCGAATATGTTCAATCGGCCTACACAAGCATATGTCGCTTACATTTATGGTTATGGAGATCATGGTGGTCTCCTCTACTTCAGCCTTTTTGGGATTAGTTCATGACAATGGAGATCATGGTGGTCGCCTCTTCTTCAGCCTTTTTGGGATCAGTTCATGGCAACCTTCATTAGGACTCCCTTGGATAAGCGCACAAAAGGATAGAAGAAGCCTAGGAAAAGTATACATGTAAATCTGAAGTGGGATCCAATGAGATATTGATCAATGACAAACCATTTGTTTTGAGGCTCCAATATGTGCTTGCTCCTAATGTTTGATTTGTCGATTGTTAATATCTATGGTATTTTTTTTTGTGACCGAAGAAGCTAAAGAGGAGAACGTTATTTACTAACATTACGAGAATAGAGATGTAAGTATACTTGAAGCGGTGATATTAATATACAAACACCAAGTCCACGACGAAGGTTCTAAATAGGTGACTTTTTGCTATGTACAGAGAACTTTGAGATGGTAAGGCAATGGCGGTGTCTTTGAGTTGCAAAAGAGAACACGAGATAGCAAGGCAACGGCAGTGTCTTTGAGTTGCAAAATGTAACCTTACGCGTCGGCAAAAAAAATGAAGCGGCCATGCCATCTTGTTCTGTGGCACCACTCCCCTGCAGGAACATAATCAATCAAGAAAAAAAGGGAAAGAATTTGTATCGCTTAAGCTGTGGCCATCCCTTTTGTCCAAGAAAGCATAGTTTTAGCATAACTACAAAGTAAGGTTACCTATGGATATCGAACTAAGAATCAAACCTGGTAGATGGTTTTGGAATTAGAAATTAGCAATGTGAGGTAATGCGACTTCCTATGACAAAACAGAGCATGCAAAGCACCAGAGGCTGAAATTTGTTTAAGGAATTTTATTTGAATAATTCCAAAGAATGGATATAATTCGAATTAGATGGTCGCCGAGGTATCGATTGTCTCTCCGACATTTATCGTTAATTAATAGAAAAGCAGTTACTCTTTAGAAGAATGTAAGCATGCATAAATTTGCTCTAGCCCATAGTAGAATATGAAGTTGGCAAAATAGAACCACATATTCTCAAAAGAGCGTAGCATATGCAATAGTAATCTACACATCATACAAAGAATTTGTGGATCACTCAAAAATATTAGGTTCAACACACCAACAGGATGAACCAATATTCAGACACCACCAATACATGAGGTTTGGCCAATTTCGTTGGATCAAACCGAAAGCTATAGTAAATCACTTTGTAAAGACGAGATATGCGAAGTAATTCAACCGCACACGACAATTCAATTACCAATCGAGAATAGATGGAAGCCACATCCGCGCACATTGCCACGGTGTCATTGGCTCCCACTACAAATCGAATAGGTGTGTAGATGATCAGGTCCTTTAAATGGTTGGGCAAGTTAGTAAAAAATTCATAGAAGCTCATATAAGGATAATTGACATAATTTGAGCCAATACTCTCTCCATAACTAAGCTGACCATGACATACATCTGACCTTTCATTATGACATTTAGGGAAACAAAATGTCGAATTTGAAGTACAGAAAATCTAATGTCGAATTGGCTCTTGGTTGGTACCAGTAAATCAGATACGATAAAATTTCGCATGGCACTGCTAATAACTTGGTGATGAGAGCACATATGTAAAATTAGGCGGTCCATAAAATACAATATTGATGTGTGGAACAAATGTGGCTCATAGGATATCCCTAACTCAATATCTTTGTAGTAGTTGAGGCTGGTCATTACCATAAGTATTACTTGCCCATGGGAAGCTAAAGCCAAATGACAGAATAATTATTCTTTTTGGAACATTGCATATCAAGAAACTTTAACTCTGAATTTTGTGAGGAAAAATGCATGGCCATATAAACATTATGTGTCCCCCAAATCGACTAAATAAATTGGTTTCAATTCAAGAGCTAATGGATTCTTCTTAACTAAACGATCTGAGCTTTTTCTGCGTTGTTTTGAGAAAAAAAGAGCTAAGCTGATTGAGCTTTGGAATGGAAGCCATCAATTCGTGTAATCAAGAACCCATTTTATTCATAAATTTTTCCATGAGAACTCTTGAATCCTCTCTTTTCTAATCATAGAAACACGGAAAGGGAGATGGAGGAAAAGTAGCTAGGGGGCATCAGACAGAGACACGGATTCGAAGGGTTGCATTCATGGGATTTGCTTGAATCATAGTCTGTAGTTCCGCCGCCAATTTCTTTGCCTTGGTTGAGGGATGTGAGAAACATGAGCGTCAAAGTTTAGACATGGTAAAATGACAGAAATTTATAAGGAAAAATATTTATCGAGTTTCTATTTTTAATACCCAAACAACTCAACTGAGATACTACATGAAATAGAGGAGCAATATGAATTGGAGGTTACCTTGTTTGCTAAATGTGAACTGAAGCACTCCAATTATACTCTTCCCAGTCGCATTTGTTGGCCATAAAAAACAAAAGGAACTATTAGGCTAGGTAAAATTACGGATAGAAAGACTAATGGAATTAGGGATCAATATGATATATCATGTGCAACTAAATAAAATATCATGGTCGTAAGAGTGCTAACACACATAGAGTGAAATCCATAAGCTTAGTTGAGTTGGTCTACTTTCATTGGTGTAGGTCTATATCAAGGCATACAAAACTTCACATTGTTGTTGAAGAGGCGGATTTACGATGCGAGAACTTCTGCGTGGTTCCTATTCAAGCGAGTGCAAAAACACTCTTGCTCCATATTTCTTCAAGGCTAACCAAGAACTCTAAATCAAAAAGACAACAAAAGAAACAAAGTTAGCTCAAACTGTCGAAGACCGAGATTCACTATTGGAAGTAAATTGACATGAAGAAGCATGTCTACCTCGTATCCCTAGCGAGTAGGCAAGCTAGATAGTATTTAATGAAAACACATAGGACATGGTTGGTACCATATAAGTGTAAGCTGAATGCCTTATCTAGAAAAGGAAGGAAAATAATGAAAACACATAGGACAAAATACTTTTCCATCATAAAGCTGAAGGCAACAAAATATATGTTGGCGTACATAAATTAGAAAGGCGCAACATGTAATCTGTTTGCCCTAAGATATTTTTTAACAGGCGGCGCCACCGAGTAAAGGAACACTCTATATAAAGGGCCTTATGAAATAAGAGGCGTCTACAACCAAGCCATAGTAGTAGAGTATTTGGACGAGCTGGTCAATAGAAGTAGGTAGTACTCAATATAGCAACCATTGTTAAGAGAAGAAAACCTCTAGAATTTCATGGTATCTTTAAAAAAAAATTATTTCGTCCTATTATCTTGTATTAAATACATCTACAAACATCAATGCATAATGGTAAAAAATATTTTATACTAACCGTACACCCCTTAACCATGGACTTTTTTAATGAATAGTGTGGTCTTTGAATGTTGTCTCGAAAAGGTCTCGAGCACACTGGAACATTTTAGTATAAATTTGGTAAAAATAAATAAATACAGTTGGTGGCTAAATAGTAAACTAAATGTGGAATTGAAACAAAATGAATAGAGAACACTGTATAAATAAAATATGTCCAAGGGGCTGCGTACCTCGATCGTTGCTCAAATCATTATACCGACACTTGTTAGCTTCATTCCTTCCGAAGTGAAAGCGGAACCGGGAGCTAGGTTTTCCTGTAGCAAAGATAGGTAGGGTTTGTAGAAAAAATAGATAGTGTTTTTAGCAAGCCAAGGAGAGGAGGAGCAAGAGAGAGAGCGGCTTCACCTGGAGCTCTCGCGCCTGAAGCCGTCGCGTGAGGTTTGGTCGTCTTGGCAGGCGCCGCCAGACCTCGGCGCTGGACCCGACCAGGCGGCCGGCCTCCACGTCGGGCGCCAGGGGCGCCGCCCTCAGACCTGGCTGGGGTCCGCCCGCCCACACACTGCCACTGGCCTGGGGGCGGCCCTAGCTTGCAGCAGTGTGTGGCACCCTCTACTGCTGGCCTTGAGAGAGACAAACGTCGAGATCAAGAGAGGAAGGATGAATAGAGAGTGGGGAAGGGAGGAAGGATGAATAGATGAGCGGGGAAGGGAGGAGGGGCGCGGCTGCAAGGCGTGGTCAAGGGAGGAGTGGCGGAAGACGGGGAAGGAGAGGCGTCGGGGTCGGGGAGGGAGCCGGTGAGGGGAAAAGCGTGGGAAGAAGAGGAAGCAGAAGGCCGGATATATATCTGTTTCAATGGATCCAGATCGGTCAGAAACCTAAAGCTGGCGGATTCTGAAGAAGCTACCCCAAATCATAGGGAGGTGAACAAAAGCAGCACGGAGCAGGTAGAAGCTAGGCACAGTAGAATCCGATTGAGCAGATCTGGTCCATCGAACCCGAGATCCAACGGTAGTTTTTTTTTTGGGTGACGTGGACGGTGGTTCCTTCGGGAAACCACCGCGGGCTTGTTTAGGTAAATTTGTATGCATCCGAAGGATGGACTTGACAGCAATGTGTGGACTATGGACAACGAGATAGCATCACTGGAGCGTCGAGGCCAGACGATCAGTGGGCGCAGATGCCCTCCGAGTCTCAGGAACAAACAGATCGCGCGATCACGAAATCGTTCCGGCAGCAGCACGTACAAGATCCTAAATCAAGGCTCATCCATCACATGATGATCCTGCTGAGGACACACTCTGTATTATTCGTCATTTGCAACAACGCAAGCTACACACGTGTGTAGAGTGTAGACTGTCCAAGAAACCAAAACCAGCATGAGGAAACTTTCTTTATACTTATACGGTAGGTAATACAGTGTGATAGGGACACGAGATGCTCAAAACCAAACAAGCTTTCTTTAGTAATCTACATACATAGATCTTGTCGTCAGTTTAGGCCGGGCTGAGAGCCTGTGCGAGCTAGCCAGCTAGTAGTAGCACACAAACCGCCATGTGAGCCGACGACGCAGCCCCGGGCCCCGGCCAGCCGTCCAGGATGCCACCACCCCTAAACCAAGCACGAAAAAGATGTATCACCCACCACGCCCGCCGCGTGCGGCTACGGCTTGTGCAGCACCCTGCCGGCGACGACGGCGGCCTCTATGACGACCGAGATCACGTCGATGACCTCGTCGATCATGCACTTGTTCCCGTCGAACGTGGACGTGCCCTCCCGCAGCCTCGCCAGGCAGTCCAGCAGCGCCTCGTTGCAAGACGTGCTCAGGTAGTCCACTGCATACATGGTACGTATACAACAACGCGCGCAGCCGCCGGCATCAGCCCACGTTAGTGCTAGCAATTGAAGATGCATGATGACTGGAGCTTGTGTATATAACGTAACGTACTCTTTGCCTGGACGCAGTTGTCGTGGTGCATGCAGCAGGCGTCCAGCGCGTCGCACGGCTTCTCGCCGGGGCAGCCGCTGTACAGGATGCCGCAGTACTTGCCGTACCGCAGGAACGGCGCCGCTGTTGAGTGGCAGAAGATCATGTCGGGCGCTTAATAAGTGAGCGATCGATGCAATTACGAGGAAATAAACCGTGCAGATCATGGAAGAGATGGGTTAATTGTACGTACTCGTGCAGTGGTCCGACTCGCACGTGCGGCTGCACGCCTGCTGCTTGCTCTGCGCGCGAATCAAAGAGCACAGTTAACAGGGGTGTGGAGCTAGATTAGTGGGCAACGACGTGCTGCGTACGTGTGCGTATGATGAGCATGATGAAAGGCTGAAAGCTACTCCAAGCATATATAATTTAGCCTGTGTACGTACCGCGCCGTCGCCGGCCGACTGGATGCCGATGTTGAGCGCGGCGGCGGGCGGCGAGAAGAGGGCCGCGCAGACAAGGATGGTGCCGACCACCGTGAGCCGCCTGCAGGAACTGTCGCGCTCCATCCTCAGGGGAGCTCGATCTAGAACGAAATCTCTCCGATCCCACCGCGCGCGCGCGCACTCTCTCTCGGTCTCTCCTTGACGACCCGGCCCGGCGGTTGGCGAGGAGTCTCGTGACGGCACGGCCTGCCGTCGCTGGCGAGACGAGATTATCTGGGGGAGGGGCGGCCAACTGGTCTCAACTGCAGTCGCGGTGCGGGCTTCCGGCTGTGGCTGGCTGGCGCTGATTTACAGGGGATGTGGACAAAAGCGGGCGGAGGCGAGTGAAGATGGGGGCGTGGCGGGCGCGCGTTTGGTCGTATTCGTCCCGTGAGCGGACGGGGCCTTGTTCACGGGCGTGCCAGTGCCAGTTTGACAGCACACGGCCGCCAGGGACAAGGGACGCCGCGCTCCCTGCTGTGCCTGTGCCCTGTGCTGCTGTGCATGCACCAGTAGCTCAGCCAGCGCAGCATGCACAGAACCAGTGCGATGGGCCGTGCCGATGCCCTCTTTGGGGGTTCCTTTCGGCGGAGAATAAACGTTTTGTTGTGCTCACGGGCTCCGAGCTTATTTTAGGGTTTTTGTTTCTCAGCAGTCAGACGGACGTACGCTCTGTCGATCTCTTTCGGCCTGTTGGTTGGTTGGTTTCTGAGCTGATTTGGGTTGGCTGGTGCTAGTTTATTGTGAAAGAAAAACACTGTTGGCTGACTGATTTGGGCTGGCTGAAACCAACAAACGAACAGGACGTTTATCTAAAAATGCTCTGTCGATCCGCCATTGCTGTCACGCTGCATGGCAAATGCGACTGCCACGTAAGAGAGCAAGGAAGAAATAGTGACTAGTGTAATGCCCGTAGCGCTTAGTACTTAAGATCTGGATCCATTATTACTACGGGAACACCCCGTTCCTCCGACTTCAAGTATATAAAGCGTAACCACGTCATACTTATTCAAAGACCAAAGAGCATATTTAACTCTCTCTCTCTCCCAACACTAGTACTACTATATTGATGTACGTGTGTCTAGAAAGAGAATAGACATGAATAAAAAAGTGGTTGTCTTATATATTTGGACGGAGAGAGTATTTTTGATGCATTTGCCAGGACACAACTTTCTTTGGTCATTCAGAATTTTGCCTGGTGACATTGGTTGTAGTTACCATCTTCATCACTATTGTAATAAGGCGACGAGCTAAAAACATGGTTTTGCTGGTTTTGACGAGCTAAAGTGCTTGTTTAGATCAGCTAAGGCTAGTTGTTTCTTTGTTTTTTGTTTTTTTAAAGTTAAGGCTAGTTGTTAGTTATGACTAAAAATTAGCTTAGAATAGCTGGGGTAGGTCAGCCAGTTGGTTAACAATTAAACTTGTCTAAAAATTTATTACATCTATTAACCCTTGTTAAGAGCATCTCTAAGAGTACCTAAAACCCATTCTAAGATTTTTGGCAAGATTAGGAAAAAAAACCATCTCCAACAATTCTCAATCTCACCTCTCAATCTTTTAGCACTTAGAAAAAATTACCTCCACGCGCATAAAGATCCTGGTCCTACGCGCGAGTTTCCCCTGGCGATTTGCTAGCTCGCGCCAAAGAATAGGCACTGTCATCAACAACAGCACTTCGGAGGCGGATTTTCTGAGAATTATGTGTTAAACCTAGAACATGATCTATAGGCATAGAACTGGCATGTCTATTTGTTGTGAATAGAATTATAAACCCTAAAACATCTACTAGTGCAGTAATAGTAGGTAGAACAAGGGAAAAAGGGAGGGGTAGAAGATGGACGTGTCAAACCTGACATCACAGAGGGAGTCGATCCAGAGGCGTCGGCCATCTCGTTCGTCGGTGAAGTCTGCGCACGGAATGCGACGTTCGGGGAAGAGGTAGATGAAGCCGTCGACGTCGGTGGAGTGGGGCGGCGCGGCTGGTGGCTTCCCGTCACTGGCTGCGCCCTTCTAGATCGGATTAGGGTTTAGGTTTCGGTGGGGAGCTCGGCTCAGGCAAACCTCGTGACTTGAGCCGCCGGCCCCCACCTCTATTTATTACGCAGTGTGACAGGGGCCCTCCAGCCATTGTGGGCTGGGCGCCCCCGATTAGGGCGCGGATCAAAGGCCCAACTAGGCCGTTGGGCCCAGTTTGGGATTAGAGATCAATCTAACAATCTCCCCATTGATCTCCTACCATCTTTCAATTTCACATCGTTTACTTTTGTTCATTCCATTACAGATTAGCGCATAGAGCATGTTTTATCGTCACGGTCAATTGCCGATAGATTTAACAGCTACAACACACCACTCTGTTCTGAAATAGATACTTAACTTTGAGCCTTTTTTTGTCCAGGAATGATAGGCTTTCCCTTAAACCCATGCCGGCTACATGTTCTCTGAACACGTTGGGTGGTAAGCCTTTTGTAAGCGGATCTGCGAGCATCTTTTCGGTACTTATATGCTCAAGACTTATGACATGATCCCGGACTTTATCTTTCACAATATAATACTTTATGTCAATGTGTTTGGCAGCACCATTTGACTTATTGTTGTGAGCATACTGTACTGTCGGATTATTATCGCAGTATAACTTAAGTGGTCTATAGATGTCGTCAACCACCTTCAAACCAGGTATGAACTTTTTTAGTCAATTCACCTGTCCCGTTGCCTCAACATGCTACAAACTCAACATACATTGTGGATGATGTAGTGACGGTTTGATTTGAGCTTTTTTCTGAAATAGCTCCCCCTGCGAGAGTGAATACATATCCAGATGTGGATTTTCTATCATCTCCCGCATAATCAGAATCTGAATATCCCACTATATGGATTGAATCAGATCTTCTATACGTCATCATGAAGCCTTTCGTTCCTTGCAAATAACACAAGACTTTCTTTACTAATTTCCAGTGTTCTGTTCCAGGATTGCTCTGGAATCTGACAAGTAACCCGGTAACAAAAGCTAAGTCAGGGCGCGTACATACTTGAGCATATTGCAAGCTTCCGACAGCTGAAACATATGGAACCGCTTTTATTTGATCGATCTCATATTAGTTCCTGTGGCATTGAAAATCCTCATATATGTCGCCCTTGACTATAGGAGCAGGTGAGGGACTACATTTGTGCATACTGAATTTCTTTAAGATTCTTTCTATGTATGCTTTTTGTGACTGTCCTAATACCCCTTTACTTCTATCTCGGTGAATCTCGATCCCTAGAACGAACGAAGCTTCACCAAGATCTTTCATATCAAATTTTAAGAACAAAAACTTCTTTGTCTCCAGTAGTAGACTGACATCACTACTAGCAAGTAAGATATCATTCATATACAGGATAAGAAAGATAAACTTCTCATTCTTGAACTTTGCATAGACACAAATGCCCTCTACATTCTCTTTAAACCTAAAATTTCTTATTGTCTGATCAAACTTCAAGTACCACTGTCTTGAAGCTTGTTTTAACCCATAAATGGATTTCTTTCGGCGGCATCCCATTTATTCTTTTCCTTCTATGATAAAACCATTCGGTTGTGCCATGTAAACATTTTTCTTCAAGTCCTCATTGAGAAATGTCGTCTTTACATCCATCTGATATAATTCTAAATCGTAATGTGCCACAAATGCCATTATGATTCTGAAGGAATCCTTACATGAGACTAGAGAAAAGGTCTCATTGTAATCAATACCTTCTCTTTGTATAAAGCCTTTTGCCACAAGTCGCGCTTTATATCTCTCTATATTCCCTTGAAAGTTAAGTTTTGTTTTATAGACCCATTTACAGCCTACTGTTTTGGCTTCTTTATGAATTATTTCCAAGTCCCAAACTTTATTGGCATTCATAGATTTCATTTCATCTTCCATGGCCTCAAGCCACTTTGATGAATGATCACTTCTCATGGCTTCTTCAAATGAGGTGGGATCATCCTTCATTTCAAATTCTTTAGTGTTGTATACTTCATAGTCAGCAGGAATAGCTGATTTTCTAACTCGTTGAGACCTTCTAGGGGCCTTCACATTTGGCACATCTTCTGTTTGAGGTTGTTGTTGCTCCCCCTCATGTATGGCAATAGGCTCTACAGGATCCTGAAGAACAGGTTCCTCATCGTTATTCATTGTTGCCACAGGCGGAATAACAACAGGTGCTGGCACCACAATATCTTGCACTGTCGGTGCAGCGATAGTAGGTAGTGAGAAAAATGGCTCATGAATCATCGAAGTGGGTGCATACACTCGCGTCTCTTCAAGGTCAATTTCTCAAGCTACCATGCTCCCCCTCATTATTTCATCCTCTAGGAAGACAGCGTGTCTCGTTTCCACAAACTTTGTATATCTATCTGGACAGTAGAAACGAAAACATTTTGACTTTTCTGGATAGCCAATGAAATGGCAACTCACTATTTTAGGATCTAACTTCCCAATGTTTGGGTTAAATATTTTAGCCTCAGCAGGACTCCCCCACACACGTAACTAGTTTAGTGCGGGTACTCTTCCAGTCCACAACTCATACGGTGTTTTGGCCACCGACTTACTTGGTACTCTATTGAGAATATGAATGGCGGTTTTTAACGCCTCCATCCACAGGCTCAACGGTAAGGTGGAGTAACTTATCATACTGCGCACCATATCCATCAGGGTACGATTGCGTCTTTTAGCTACTCTATTCTGCTGAGGTTCGCCCGGTGTTGAATACTGGGCTACTATGCCATTCTCTTGTAAGAACCTTGCAAAAGGTCTAGGAATTTGGCCATATAGGGTATGCCCACCGTAGTACTTTCCCCCACGGTCGGACCTGACTATCTTAATCTTTAAATTGTGTTGGTTTTTAATTTCTGCCTTAAATATCTTAAATTTATCTAATGCTTCTGTTCTTTCTTTGATTGGATAAATGTAACCATAACAGGAGTAATCATCTGTGAATGTTATGAACGAATAATAACCATCCACACTCTTTACAGGAAACGGACCACAGATGTCTGTGTGAATAATCTGTAAAATTCATGCGTTTCATTTGGCATCATTCTTAATTTTCTTTACATACTTTCT